GACCAATATCCCTGATGAACATAGGTGCAAAAATCCTCAATAAAATTCTGGCCAATAGAGTACAACAACACATCAGGAAAATCATCCAGCCAGACCAAGTGGGATTCATCCCTGGTATGCAGGGATGGTTCAACATTCGCAAATCAATCAATGTGATTCACCATATTAACGGACTGCAAAACAAAAACCATATGATTATCTCAATTGATGCAGAGAAAGCATTTGATAAAATTCAACACCCTTTCATGATGAAAACTCTAAGCACATTGGGTATAGAAGGAACATTCCTCAATATAATCAAAGCAATTTATAAAAAACCCACAGCCAGCATCCTATTGAATGGGGAAAAGTTGGAAGCATTTCCACTGAAATCTGGCACCAGGCAGGGATGCCCACTCTCACCACTGCTATTTAACATAGTTCTGGAAGTTTTAGCCAGAGCCATCAGACAAGAAAAAGAAATCAAAGGAATAGAAATTGAGAAGGAAGAAGTCAAACTATCCCTCTTTGCAGACGATATGATTCTTTACTTAGAGGATCCAAAGAACTCTACTAAGAGACTATTGGAACTCATAGAGGAGTTTGGCAAAGTAGCAGGGTATAAAATCAATGCACAAAAATCAACAGCCTTTGTATACACAAGCAATGCCATGACTGAGAAAGAACTGCTAAGATCAATCCCATTCACAACAGCTACAAAAACAATCAAATACCTTGGAATAAACTTAACCAAGGACGTTAAAGATCTCTACGATGAGAATTACAAAATCTTAAAGAAAGAAATAGAAGAGGATACCAAAAAATGGATAAATCTTCCATGCTCATGGATTGGAAGAATCAACATCATCAAAATGTCCATTCTCCCAAAAGCAATTTATAGATTCAATGCAATCCCAATCAAGATACCAAAGACATTCTTCTCAGATCTAGAAAAAATGATGCTGAAATTCATATGGAGGCACAAGAGACCTCGAATAGCTAAAGCAATCTTGTACAACGAAAACAAAGCTGGAGGCATCACAATACCAGATTTCAGGACATACTACAGGGCAGTTGTAATCAAAACAGCATGGTACTGGTACAGAAACAGATGGATAGACCAATGGAACAGAATCGAAACACCAGAAATCAACCCAAACATCTACAGCCAACTTATATTTGACCAAGGATCTAAAACCAATTCCTGGAGCAAGGACAGTCTATTCAATAAATGGTGCTGGGAAAACTGGATTTCCACATACAGAAGCATGAAGCAAGACCCCTACCTTACACCTTACACAAAAATCCACTCAACGTGGATTAAAGACCTAAATCTACATCCTGACACCATCAAGTTATTAGAGAACATTGGAGAAACCCTTCAAGATATTGGCACAGGCAAAGAATTTCTGGAAAAGACCCGGGAGGCACAGGCAGTCAAAGCAAAAATCAACTATTGGGATTGCATCAAATTGAGAAGTTTCTGTACTGCAAAAGAAACAGTCAGGAGAGTGAAGAGACAACTGACAGAATGGGAAAGAATATTTGCAAACTATGCAACAGATAAAGGGTTAATAACCAGAATCTACAAAGATATCAAGAAACTCCACAAAAACAAAACCAACAACCCACTTAAGAGATGGGCCAAGGACCTCAATAGACATTTTTCAAAAGAGGAAATCCAAATGGCCAACAGGCACATGAAAAAATGTTCAAGGTCGCTAGCAATCAGGGAAATGCAAATCAAAACCACAATGAGGTTTCACCTCACCCCGGTTAGAATGGCTCACATACAGAAATCTACCAACAACAGATGCTGGCGAGGATGTGGGGAAAAAGGGACACTAACCCACTGTTGGTGGGAATGCAAACTGGTCAAGCCACTGTGGAAGTCAGTCTGGAGATTCCTCAGAAACCTGAAGATAACCCTACCGTTCGACCCAGCCATCCCACTCCTTGGAATTTACCCAAAGGAGTTTGAATTGACAAACAAAAAAGTGGTCTGCACCCTAATGTTTATTGCAGCTCAATTCACAATAGCCAAGACCTGGAACCAACCTAAATGCCCATCAACGGTAGACTGGATAAAGAAATTATGGGATATGTATTCTTTAGAATACTATACTGCAGTAAGAAACAACGAAATCCAGTCATTTGCAACAAAATGGAGGAATCTGGGACACATCATGCTGAGTGAAGTAAGCCAGTCCCAAAAGGACAAATACCATATGTTCTCCCTGATCGGTGACAACTGACTGAACACCAAAATGGAAACCTCCTGAAGTGAAATGGACACTATGAGAAATGGTGACTTGATCAGCATAGCCCTGACTGTTAATGAACAACTTAATACATTATCCCTCTTAGTAGTTTTTTTGTCTGTTCTACTTAATATGACTGGTTTAATTCTGTAATTATCACACAGTTATTCTTAAGTGGTGAAAATTAACTGAAATGTGATCCCTGTTAAACATAAGAGTGGGAATAAGAGAGGGAAGAGATGTGCAATTTGGGACATGTTCAAGCTGACTTGCCCCAAATGGTAGAGTTAGAAACATACCAGGGGATTCCAATTCAATCCCATCTAGATGGCATGTACCAATGCCATCTCACTAGTCCAAGTGATTAATTTCAGTTCACAATTGATCATAATGGAAGGACTAAGAGTCAAAGGGAGCACATAAACAAGTCTAGTCCCTCTAATACTAACCGATAGAATAAATAAAGGGGAGAGTGATCCAACATGGGAAGCGAGATACTCAGCAGACTCATAGAATGGCAGATGTCCTAAATAGCACTCTGGCCTCAGAATCAGCCCTAAAGGCATTCCAATCTGGCTGAAAAGCCCATGAGAGTATTTCAGGCATGGAAAGCCAAGACACTCTGGCAAAAAGATCTCTGTGAGTGAGATCCCAGTGGAAAGAACAGGTCTTCAAAGAAGGAGGTACCTTTCTCTGAAGGGAGGAGAGAAGCTCCACTTTGACTATGACCTTGTCTAAACAAGATAAGAGTCGGAGAACTCAAGGGGCTTCCATAGCCTTGGAAACTCATGACTGGTGCATAGGGAGATTACTGATGCCATAAACAGGAGTGTCAATTTGTAAAGTCAACAACAGGAGTCACGGTGCACTTACTCCTCATGTAGGATCTCTGTCCTTAATGTGCGGTACATTGAGGCTTAATGCTATAACGAGTACTCAAACAATATATTTCACTTTGTGTTTCTATGGGGGTGCAAACTGTTGAAATCTTTACTTAATGTATACTAAACTGATCTTCTGTAAAAAAAAAAAAAAAAAAGAAAGAAATTATCAATTCCCAACTTGACTCTCACTGGGATTAAACATGACAATAGGTCTGATCTGATTTCATCATCATTTTAAAAAAAATCATCTATTATTTTTCACTTTATGTTTCTATGTGGGAGCAAACTGTTGAAATCCTTACTTAATGTATACTAAGCTGATCTTCTGTATATTAAGATAATCGAAAATGAATCTTGATGTGAATGGAAGGGGAGAGGGGGTGGGAAAGGGGAGGGATGCGGGTGGGAGAGATGTTATGGGGGGGGAAGCCATTGTAATCCATAAGTCGTACTTTGGAAATTTATATTCATTAAATAAAAGTTAAAAAAAGAGATATTAATATGTGAGTTTTGAAATTTTTTAAAATATAGTGTTCTTAGAGTGAAATAAATACAAAAGGGCAAGAGTATAATTGTATTACAAAACAACAATTAGTATTATTCTTAGAGACCCATTGAGAATGACTTCAAAAATACATCGATGATGCTGTTTTCTTCTAAACCATGTCTTTCGTGTTTCCACTTTTGTTTTACCATGTCACTCTATGAATGCTGCCATTTAACAATCAAACATATTCTTTCAGGCACTTCCAGGATCCGTATGGTAGAATATATTGTTGTCTCACAGAAAATATTTTTATTTCCTATTGTGACATTCAGCCAATTTCAAATTTTTAAGATTCAGACAAGTAACTGGTGTTGACAACATTGTTAATCTTCCTACACAAACATTCAGGGAAAAATTACCAAGGCAGAGTAGGAAAAAGTTAATGTCATTTTAAAAATGACTTTTACTCAAACAATATTGCCATTGTCTAAACGCCAAGGCCTTTGGAACTGTAAAAATATTCATAATATCAAGCCCTATGTTTTTTAAACAGTCATCAGTTTCTGCTTTCTAAAATATTCTCTATCTATTTCTACCCAATAAATATTAACTTTGAAAGGGAAGATAACATTATCTAGATAGTTTTGCTTAATTAACTCATGTTTTTGCTACAATAACTGATTTTAAAGTTAAGTATAAAATTATAAAAATATTTTTATATGAAATCAATGTTATATGTTAGAGGTAAGTAGACCAGCCTCTACATCAAGGGTGGAAATCATTTTTTTTCCAGTCAATTCAAACTCAACAATTAAAAAAAAATCTTTAGAGGAGCCACACTCATTAATTTAAAAAGTGTGTCAATCACAAAAAATAAATAACTAAATTTAAAACATAGGCAATGAATCCGAATAGACATTCTCCAAATAAACATAAAGAACAATATTCACCTCATCGGTAATTGAGGAAATACAAATCAAATCACAATGAAGACACATTTCTTCTCCCAATGGGATGATCTTAATCAAAAAGACAGATAATGACAAAAGATACCTGAGGAATTAAAGAAATTGGGATGCTTGTATGTCATTGTTGAGAATAGAAAATGGTGCAATCAATCCAGAAAAGCTAAGCAGCTCCTCAAAATATTAAATACCAAGTTACCACAAGACTCAGCAATTCGCTTTGAGGTACACACCTGAGGAAAATTAAACATGTCAGCACAAAGACTTCTATAGGAATTTCATAGCCGCATTATTCATAATAGCCAAAAGAATAATAGCTCAAATGTTTATCATTTGTTAAATTCATAGACAGAAGATGATATATCCACACAATGGGACATTCATATTATTCAGCAATAAAAATGAGTGAAATAGTGTTACATGCCATCCCCTTTTCTCTTTGCCAATTGAACCTTTATATCTTTATTGGTCATTCAATTGGGGCAAAGGAACTATCCTTTTAATATTCAGGCAAACTGAGTGTCTTGTAACTGTCAGAGGAAAAAAAACTGAAAAAAAAATTGATTCATGCTGTAATATAAACGCTTGTAAATATCACGCAACATGAAAGAAATCAGTCACAAATGACTGCATAGTGAATGATTCTTTTATATGAAAGTTCTATGATAGGCACGTTTGTACAAGTACAGATTGCCTGGGCCTGAAGATGAAAGTGGGGCAGAACAGTAAGTAACTGCCATGGTTTTCTTTTGGGGTATGAGAAAGTTCTAAAATTCATTACAATGATAGATATGTACATCTATGCATCCACTGAAGGATGGTGAGTGTAAACTTCAAATGGGTGAATTAGACAGTATGTGAGTTATATCATAGCAGAGTTACTGAAAACTGTATAATTATAGAATATTCAAAAATACACCCGTCTACTTTCCTCATACATACATTATCTCAAAAAAATGAAAAAGAGTTGCTTCAAAGCACTCTCTTCTGGGAGTAGGCCTTGTGCTACAGCAGGTTAAGCTGCTGTTTGTGGTGCTGTCATCTGATATCAGAGCACCAGTTCATTCCAGCTGCTCTCTCTCCAAGCCTGCTCCCTGCTAATTTGCTGGGAAAGCAGCTGAACATGGCCTAAGTACTTGGATCCCCGCCACCCACACCGGAGGCCCAGTTAGAGTTCCTATTTCCTGGATATGGCCTGGACCAGCCCTGGCTGTGGCAGTCTTTTCGGAAGGGAATGAACCAGTAGGTGCAAGATCTATCTCTTTCTCAATCTTTCTCTGTGATTCAGCCTTTAAAATGAATAAGATAAATATTTAAAAAAGGATTTGCTTATCAAAATACTTATTGAATTAAAATTATTTTCTTGAGGGTCTATAAATTAAGTAATTTTATCCTTAAATAATTTAAGCAGTCCCTGAATTGAGTAAATAAAATTTTAAGTATGCATATTTGTAATGATAGATATAAAAATAATTTTATAAAATAAATAATGTGAATTAGAGAAGTTAATACCTTTAAATACTTGGTTTAATACTTTGGTTATGTTTCATAAATAAGAATGTTCTGCCAATTTAGCCTCATCTAAACTGTACTATGAATAAAATGAAACAGACAAAATTTCAATGTGAGAAATTATTTTAGAAGTAAAGTAGTACTTCGACAGATGTCGTTGGAAAGCATATTTGTCTATTTGGAGTTTTGCATTGAATAAAATATCAGATCAAAGCCATTGACTTCAGAGACAGATGAGGACAACCATTCACCACTACCACACAACTGCTTCAGAGACGAAGCAGAGGAGTTGAAAAGATCAAGTGTAGTAGATGAAACAAAAATTAAAACCACATCAGGAACTAAATTAAAGAAACAAAACTAAGAAAACTAAAATGGACACTGAATCTTAGGAAAGTATTTACAAAATTTGCATATGCATTGAAATAGGTCATGATGGTACTTGTTTCATTCAAAGTTTTTTTCACTAATGACCAAAAATCATTCACAAACATTTAACACCTGGAAAGTTTCCACGGTGACACAGAAGTCCCAAAATGGAAAATTTGACATATGTTCTTAAACTGCATAATGAATGAAACTATCTAGAGTAGTGGCTACAGATCAGAATATTGCATTCAGACACAATTATATACAAAATTATTTTTATTCATGATAAATGATAAATCACAATATTCTAAAACAATAGACTGTAAGTACTGAAACATTAACGAGCTTTTATACAAGAAAGCAGTTTCATATCTCTTCAGGTGTAACTATATTAATAATAAAATTATTGATTATTTCTATTTCCTAATTTGGTTTAATAAGACCCACTGAGGTTGAATAAAACCAATGCAAGCTGTTGCTATGTTTCATTTATGTATATGGCACACATCGCCTACAAAATAGTTTATTAAACTGAAACCATTTTTTATTTCTATGCTTGACTATACACAAAAGCCATTGTTATATGGTACTGATAAAATGCTATTTGACTGTAGTTACTCTTAACCACTGTTAATTACCACTGTTATCGAGACCTTGTCCTCTTTCATTTAATATGAAGAAAATGGGGGGCTAGTTTGTGCCTGCACAGGGCTCCCTAACTGGAAGAATTACTACAATTACATTACTTTATCTTTGGATTTTCCTGGCCTGTGACCCCTACATTGGAAATCCAATGCAGCGCATTAAGAATGATTGTGTTCCCAGTGGAAAGAACGGGCCATCAAAGAAGGAGGTACCGTTCTTTGAAGGGAGGAGAGAACTTCCACTTTGACTATGACCTTGTCTAAATAAGATCGAAGTCGTTGAACTCAAAAGGCTTCATAGCCTTGGCAACTCATGACAAGAGCCTAGGGTGATTACTGATGCCATAAACAAGAGTGTCAATTTGTTAAGTCAACAACAGGAGTCACTGTGCACTTACTTCTCATGTAGGATATCTGTCCTTAATGTGTTGTACATTGTGAATTAATGCTATAACTAGTACTCAAACAGTATTTTACACTTCGTGTTTCTGTGTGGATACAAACTGTTGAAATCTTTGCTTAATATATGCTAAATTGATCTTCTATATATAAAGATAATTGAAAATGAATCTTGATGTGAATGGAAAGGGAGAGAGAGCAGGAGAGGGGAGGGTTGCAGGTGGAGGGAAGTTATGGGGGGGGGGAGACATTGTAATCCATAAGCTGTACTTTGGAAATTTATGTTTATTAAATAAAAGTAAAAAAAAAAAAAAGAATGGATTGTGTTGACACACTGGACAGTTCTCCACCATTCCCAATCCAGTTCCAGCATTCCTGTGTAAGTTAAGAGGATTATGATACTTTTTATCTTGCCTTATAGGAGTCCCAGTTATACTACCTGTAATCAGATAGGAATTAGTAGATTGTTTTATTTTTGTTTCATTAGCCATATCTAGTGATAAATGCAAGGACTGAAATTATGAAATGGCTTACTTTTCCCCTGGCATCAGTCCTAGTGATCAATATAATCAGGAGTGTCCCTATTCCTCATTTTTTTATACTAATGAAAAAGGACAGTAAGCTCAATGCTATAACTAATTGTGCTAAGTGTTAGGTTTTTAATATAAAAGCAGATCACATGAAACACATTTAATAGAGTGTGTTGAAAGGTGAAGTATTGTGTTCATCTGTTTTATGATTTTTTTTCTAACAAAAAATATTTACTGGATTGATTTTAAAATCTGGAACCATTATACAACATTTTACCTTCACTGACAAAGAAATCTAGTGGTAGGTAAACTGTCTCCTAAGACATTAGGGTAGCAGTATTAGAGTAAGAATAAAAAGAGATGTCAACAGAAGATTCATGAGAGGCAGAATAGGAAAAACAAAACCTCTGAACATGAGAACAAAAGTGCTAGTTGTGAGAGAGTGAGTTGAAAATTACAAAAAGCGCATGTGGAAAATAATGCAACTCAGATGTTTTATTAATACGTAGTAATTGCCAAGCATTTACTTTGTGGCACGTTTTTGGGATTTCCACAGATAAATTACTATTTGCTTATTTACCCATTTGTTTCTGCAAAAATCTTTATTTTTGGACTGACATCTGCCCTACCCCTAAGACATCGCTTTGGACACCAGCAGCCCATATCAGAGTACCTGGGCTCCAGTCCTGGCTCTGCTCCCAATTCTAGCTTCCCACTAATGTGTACCCTGGGAATCAGGAGGTAATGGCACAGGTACCTGGGAGATTGAGTTTTTATTTTTTTTTTTATTATTATTATTATTTTTAATTTTGTTTCCATTTGGAGGGAGAGGCTCAGGCAGAAGCTCTTCAAAGGCCTGAGCTCTGGAAGTTCCCAGGAGTGCCTGAGGATAAGCCTTTGGGAAAGACCCTCACCCAGCAGGTCTGGGGGCATGCTGCCCACCAGGGCTGGTCAAGTGCTCATCTGTCTTTTGGACCAATTTCACCTCCTCATCTAGGAAGTAGTTCTCCTGGAAGCCACAGAGGTAAAGTCTATGCAGGCAGCTCCCACCCTGATCTAAAAGGGACCTATTCCAGTTCTTCTGTAGGGTCCTGGCAGCTCCCTTGGAGTACAGGGTTTACCTCCTCCGTCTTGGGTGCTTCTGCACATCGGAGAAGAGGGTTCTAGCTCCACATTGTTTTGCATTTTCAGGAAATGCTACCTAAAATGTCCTGTCTCAGAAGTAGGCCAGGCCTATAGATACACATCTTCTTGGGTGCAGGATGCCTGGAGATGCAACTTGACCAAGTCTAGCAGCAATTCTGACAAATATGAGTGGCCCTGTTTGGTAGGCATTAAGGGGATAAACAGAAGTCGCCATGTTGGCTGGTCTGGTAGCAAGAGATGACCAAGATGGTGGCCCGGAGATTGCCATGGGAGAGGTGGCAGGCTAGAGGAAAGGATCCACATGAAGTTTCCGTGCATGACTGTTGAAGGAGAGACAGAGCCTCCGGAACACCAACAAAGATCAGCATTCAAACATTTTTATCCTCACAGATTATACTGACTGACATGTAGAAGCCTGTGAAGCCCACTACCAGGTGTCGCTGGTATGTCCATCACTGCCACCACCCTCACCAAAACAGCTTGGTACTGGTACAAATACAGACAGGTAGACCAATGGAACAGAATAGAAATGCCAGAAATCAATCCAAACATCTACAATCAACTTATATTTGACCAAGGAGCTAAAACCAATCCCTGGAGTAAGGACAGTCTCTACAACAAGTGATACTGGGAAAACTGGATTTCCACATACAGAGTATGAAGCAAGACCTCTACCATACATCTTATACAAAAATCCATTCAAAATTGATTAAAGATATAAATCTATGACCTGATACCATCAAATTATTAGGGAATATTGGGAAAAAACCCTGACGATATTGGCACAAGCAAAGAGTTCTTTGAAATAAACCCAGAGACACAGGCAATCAAAACCAAAATTAACAAATGGGATAACATCAAATTGAGAAGCTTCTGTACTGCAAAAGAAACACTCAGGAAAGTAAAGAGGCAACCTACAGAATGGGAGAAATTATTTTCAAACAATGT